AAAAAAACCTTAAAAATCTTATAATTTGGGACAGAGGGAGTATAAAAAAAAATCCTCAAAAATCTAGAGTCTCTAAGCTTATGATTTTCAATTTTGGATTTTGATGATCAAATGTCATTATCGTCAATTGTATTTCGACGGCTCACAAAGCATATGTACAAGAGCCACGCTTACATTTATTATAGACTCTTAAACGATTATTTTTTTCAAGAAATTAGATTGTATGTAAATATTTCAAAATTTATAAGAACATTAGCTAAAGAAACGATACAATTTGAGACAGATGACAACTTGATATATTCTGTATCGAATGTGGATTTCAGATGTGCGCATAACATCACCAATGGATTCAATGTTAGAAGAGGTATACATGAGTTAGGATAGGGAAGTTCTCAAGTCTAAAACAATTTGACAACAAATTTTCCATATGTTTTGAGATATTAAGTAGTGACCCGAATTCAGGTCACAACTTTCTAGCATTAGAAGAAGGAGAAAGGACAACATGGAAATCAACGCCATTTTTTTATGAGGTATGGTCATTACCACAAATCATTTGACACCTATCAAAGAAAACACTGAGTTCATGAGTCATCTCAAAAACTTTCTTGAAGGACATTACCTAAACAGCTTCAGCGATGGTTCATTGGTATGTTACAATGACCATTCAACACGAGTAGTCTCCATTGACTAGAGTTTCATTGACCTTCTACAAGGGCCCTCTTTCGAGTTAGATCCATTCATCCTATTCCACCAATTTGAGGATGAGTATTTGTAATTAGCTATGATGAAGAGCCCGTAAATTCATCTCAACATCATCGACACAACCGAGCTTTAGAATTATAACATCGGCTTTGATCTTGAAGATGGGACCATTTACTTTGATAAAATTTCATGCAAATATATATACTAGATTTTAATTTCACCACTCAACCGAGGAAAAAACAGAGTATGAAAAACTAAAACCAAGACACGAAAAATAGGGTTTAAAACTAATGGAAAATTCTTAAAAAAATATTCCAACTAAGCAACATTTGCTAGAAAAATAATACATCAACTAATAAAAGTTTCCCAATTAATACCCAAACTGACAATTTTTGTAGGTTTTAGACATGCCATTCAGCAGATGTTAAATTCACTAACGAAGACAAGAAAATCCTATATTTGATGATGTCTTTAGTGAAATGTAATGAATTGGGTATATGCTTAAGTGATATTCAGGACATGAATAACGTATTGCTTATATAAAAGGTAAACTAGTTGACTCTCCGCGTTATACGCGATTAAATATATGTTTGAAATCAAATAAATTATAGTATTATTTTGTGGTTAAAAATTGCTGATGATGTTCACTTTGAATTTCAGTTCAATTATCTTTATATAAAATAATATCTTTCGAGGCACCAAACAAGTCACAGTTTCCCGACGCCGGCGAGCTGTTGCTCCGCCGGCGTCGCCTCCTCTTACCTTTCCTCATGCCTTCAATCGTTCAAGCTATGTCCTTTGCATCTACATATAGTTTTAACTTTCGATCTTCTTCTTTAGAAACTCAGTCAATGTGGCTGCGTCTCAATTCTTCTCTTCCGGATCTGATTTCGTCGCTTTTTGGGGAGGCTTTCGTCGCCTCAGCCTATCGTTTCAAGTCCACCGGATCTGAACCTTTCTCGAAAAAATCCCGAAGAACCTTCTCCACCACCACTACAGGCCGCTGCCGTGACTGACTAGTGTTCCATCTTATTGTCGGCAGCAACAAACCCTCCATCGTGGTAGCCATATTTCATCTCTGCTTATTTACTCATCAAGCGCTACTACTAATTTTATGGCTCCGGATGTGCTCAATGTTTTCATCGATATCTCCGGTAGCAAAGGTTGATCTCATCTCCTTTCCATATAAAAGAGTCACAAGATACCAGAATAATCGTGACTTCATCCCTTGGCCCTTTGCCTTCCCCTTCGCTGAGCCTTCTCAGAAACCTATCCTCTACACTCGCTTCGATCGAGATCTGAATCTCCAATCAAGTGAGCTGCTCCGGCGAAGAGAGAACCACTACTCAAACCATCGCTACTCTCTCCTATCCAATACCAGCCATTCCTCCGTCGTCTCTGCTTGCCGGTCATCTGACCTATAGCTCCCACCGACCAAGGCTCCTCGTCGATAACCACACTTGGGATTGGGCCACTTAACCTCCTTAATGGGCTTTGTAACATTTCCCAGCCCACTAAGGCCCAGTAGTGCACATGCGATTGTCACTAAGTCTCTGGTAAATCAGTTTGCTTCAAAATCCAATTTAGGGAGACATTTGAAACAAAACTCCATCTCTATGGAGAGATCAAGTCCATTAATGTTCTCCTCTTTGAAGAGATTATCATCACCAACTTCCTCCTTTATGGAGAGATCGTTTTCATCCTTTTCCTCCGATTCGGAGAGAACCCTTCCAGAAATCCTCTCTTTTATAGAGAATGTCTTCAAACGCTCAGCCGTAATGGCATTACGAGCTAAAAGCTTTGTTCGCTCGCCTTTAATGGCAGAAGAACTAGCCCTTTTTAAGGTGCTACCGGTTGTTACCTATGAGTATAACCTCCTATCTTTTCATTATCTTGCTTTGTATTTGTATTTTAACCATGTTGTAGTTTCAGACTCTTTGGCATCGAGTTCTCGGGCTCTCCATGTTGTAACCGTAGTTTAAATTTAATATAAATCACGTTTTGACAA